TTTCTTGATAATTAGAAATATGTGGAGATAAATAACTTTGATAAGTTTCATTAATACGGGAAATAAAAAGAATTTTGATGTGTCATTTTTAATTTTGTGTTTGTAATTAATTTTTTGATACATTAAATAATACTTTTAACATTAAATATAAAAAATACAAAGAAAAATACATTTCTTAAAAAAAAAAATGATAACGATTTTCTCTTAGGGACTTTTTAACAAAACTAACCAAAATGTATAGTAGAGGATTTGTTTATTAAATTTAGCTTATTCTAAAACAATAAAGCCAGTAAACAAACAAAAAGACGAACTAATTAAATTTATTCGTACTCTTGTACATCCGATTCTGTCTCTCCGTCTTCATTTTTTGGTTCTGTTCTGAGTCTTCATCAAGTATTTTGTAAAATTCTCTGTTTTCTTCTTTTTCAATATGCGCAACTACAAACTTGACGTTCTCCAATTTTTCTGCTTTGATTTTTAAAAATTTTGTGGACGCCGGGTTCAATAAAATGTTGCTACAGCACCTTGGGTATCCTGTTTTATGTAAAACAAACTTGGTTACTCTCCAGTAATCGTTTCTCTGATTTTCGGTTTTTTAGTAGTGGAAAACATAACCGACCGGCACTTTGATATACCAGGAATTGATGACTTTATTTTGTGTGCATAGAACCGTTTAAAATCCTTGAGAACCACAAAATCTTTTGAAATGGTACTATTCTTTGTTAGTAGACTATGTTCTAGCACCACTATTTCAAAAGAATCTTTAGATCGTGTATTGTATGAGCTTTATGTCATAGTCGGGATTATAAACTTTTTCTGTCTTAAGCCGCTTTTTCTCAATCAATGCAAAACACCGATCCACTGGCATCATAGAGTGGCCAGGTGCTAGATAGTATACCACCACAGTTGTGACAAAAACCAAAAATCTGTTCTTGTTTTGAGAAAGTTGTCACAAAAAATGGTGATCTTGTTCTGATTTTCCTTCCTATGTTGCTTTAAATAATAATAACGATGATATCACCTCGTTAAGTCCTTTTGTTGGAAAATTTCCAGTAAAGATAAACATGCTGGCTTGACTAATCAAGACAACATTATTTATGCCAAAATTATGAAGCCACAACTGTCTTTTGTAATATTCATCACCAATATTAGTTACGGGTAGAGGCAGATTTTTATGGAAATCAAAACATATAACTAGTTCATTCCTACGTGCGCATTCTTTTATCTCTTTAAGTAGATCAAAGAAGGCCGTGTTCGTTGAAGATGGAGTTTCTTAGTTGTAGTGAGGGAGCATATTTCGTTTTCGTCCTTTCTGTGTTTTGCAGACTTAAGATTAGCTAAAAACCTGGTACATACTGTGTATATATCTTTTCTTGGATGACCGACTGAATAGTAAAAATCTTTGTTAAACACCTTATAAATATTCCATACTTTACTTTAAATAATCCTTATGGAGTTGAGATATTGTAAGGTCAGAACATAAATATTTCTTTTATCTGTTTAGCGAACGGCTGTAATGGGACTCTACTGCTGGCAAGTTTTGTAAAAAATCATTAACTTTCATCACTGTGTCTGTCAATATTTTATTTTTTCGAGAAGGATATTTTCCTCTCAAACTATAAAATTTTTTCTTAGCCTCTCTCTCATTATACCGTGCAAAGCCAAAAAGGTGTTTTCACAAACAGTAACAGTCCCTTAGCTGTAATTTTGTATTCAAAAACGTTCCTGGGTGATTTGCTTTTATTAATATGCCGAACAGCCGATTTTGTAATTATACAACCTCGTAAATACAAATATAAAACTGGCAAATATTTTCTTAATTTCTTAACTTCGTTTTCTTCTGTTCTCTTGCCCAGTGGAAAAGCTGTTCGAGCTGGAATGTTTAAATTTGGTATAACCTATCCTCAAACTATCTTTTGTAACTTTAAAGAGTTTTAGATGTCAATACCAATCTATTTCTGAGAAAACACTGTTTATCATTAAGCTTAATTGAAAAATTTGTCACATTAATGACGTTTATAAATTTGCATGAAAAGAGTGTTCATCCAAAAGATATAAAATTCGGTAAAATCTAATCTCAAACATTGCTCTATAACCTCAAAATGTTTCATTTATCAATTCCGAATAGTTTTGCAGAAACTTATTTTTCCTTAATTTGGTTTTAAAAAAACGTCAAATTCTAACTGGCGATTCAAAATTTTTTGTGTGGGAAAACTGTTCCAGCTGAAAACTTTAAATTTGGTATAACTTAACCTCAAACAATCTTTTCTAACCTCAAAAAGTTTTAGATTTCAACACCAAAACATTTCTGTGAAAATACAGCTTTATTATTAACCTTAAATGAAAAGTTCATCAAATTAATAACTTCTAAAACTTGTTATGAAAAGACTGTTCATTCAGAAAATGTAAAATTCGGTAAAGTCTAACCTCAAACATTCTTCTATAACCTCAAAATGTTTCATTTACCAACTCCGAATAGTTTTGCAGAAACTTATTTTTCCTTAACTACTTGATTTTAAAAGAACGTCAAATTCTAACTGGAGATTCAAAATTTTTTTGTGGGAAAACTGTTCGAGCAGGAAACTTAAAATTTGGTATAAGCTAACCTCAAACAATATTTTCTAACCTCAAAAAGTTTCAAATTTCAATACCAATCCATTTCTGAGAAAGAACTGTTTATCATTAACATTAACTGAAAAGTTTATCAAATTAATGGTTTCTACAAATTTTTATAAAAGAACTGCTCATCCAGAAAACTTAAAATTTGGTACAACCTAACCTCAAACAGTCTTCTATAACCTCATAATGTTTCATTTACCAATTCCGAATAGTTTTGCAGAAACTTATTTTTCTTTAACTTGGTTTTAAAAGAACGTCAAATTCAAACTGGCGATTCAAATTCTTTTTGTGGGAAAACTTCGAGCTGGAAACTCAAAATTTGGTACAACCTAACCTCAAACAATATTTTCTAACCTCAAAGAGTTTCAGGTTTCAATACCAATCCATTTCTGAGAAAAAACTGTTTATTATTTAACATTAACTGAAAAGTTTATCAAATTAATGGTTTCTACAAGTTTTTATAAAAGAACTGCTCATCCAGAAAACTTAAAATTCTATACAACCTAACCTCAAACATTCTTCTATAATCTCAAAATGTTGTTTTGTTGAAAGACCTTATTTCTTAATTTCGTTATGAAAGAGTGCCAAATTCAAATCAACAATTAAATTTTTTTTTTGGTAGATTGTTTAAGAAGGTAGCTTTAAATTTGGTATGACCTATCCTCAAACAATCTTTTATGACCTCAAATGGTTTTAGTGAATGTAGCCAATTAAAAATGTATCACTTTTGAAAAAAATTTATTGGAAACTCACTTATTAAAACTTTAAAACATAACACATCCTCAAACGATTTCGTTGGAATGCACAAAAAAGTATAAAAAACCGACAAACTTAAATGCCACATTAGTATTGTTCCAAACTTTATAAAGAACATATCCTGGTAATAAATCAAATTAAGGATGAATAAATTAGTGCTTTTCACTATTTTAAATATAGTTGCCATCACAGCGCAGGTAATTAATTTTTTATAAAAACTTAAATAACTATATTATTATAATATTTAGGTTATTCATTTTTAATTTTTAAAGGATTTCTACGACCAGACCCACGTTTACATGCGTTTCAAAGATTGTTTAATGTCCTCCGAAGCCGATCCCTTAGCTGTTCGTTATCTCAGAGGTGGAAATTTCGTCGATGATCCGAAACTAAACGATTTCGTGTTTTGCTTCCTGCAAAGCGTTGGGTTAATGGATATTAATGGAAACATCCAAGTGGGAACGTTCAAAAAATATTTGAGACAGGATTTTGGTGAAGACGATATTGAGAACATCATTGCAAAGTGTGAATCGGTTGTAGGAAAAAACCTTCCTGACAAGGCGATGAAAGTGTTTAAATGTTATTATAACAGCCCATTCCGATTTGTATTTCTTTGGTGAATTGATTTTTTTAATGTTCTATTTAATAAGTTTATTATACATTTTTAATTTGGTTGATATAACAATATTTTGGTAAATATGAATAAATAAACAAAGTAAATTTAATTTTGTTTTTTCAACAACGTAATAGAGAAATAGGGTACATATTAATATGAATTAATTAGAAGCTATTATGCATTATAATTCCTGCAATTTTCTTCATTGCCGAACGCAATCGAAACTTTTTTATTATTTATACCAAATCAAAATCACAAAATTAGATAATAAATCAATTTTTTGTATTAAAAATTTGTAGGTTCATCCGGTTCGAAGAATCTATTTTAAAATTTAAATTTGCCTTTTCTATTCGACTCAGTTTGCTGAGACGTCAAATTGTGAACAAACTGCACGAGCATACGGGGTAAAAATTGAATTTAACGCACCCGGAGCTCTTGGTCTCGGAAATGTAATTTCAGTTTAAACGGTTTCTCGTTTGTACGACTAGAAATTGGTAGTCCGAACATGAGTCGGGGTATTTACAGACGGTTAGAAAAAAACTAATTACAATGAGACTAAAAAGTTAGTGCAAAAAATTTCAGGGATTTCTGTTAAACCCATTAAATCCGCTATTGGGACGAAAAAAGAAAGAACACTTTTATTGATCACCAAAAATTGATGGAAGTCTAAATTTTGACTTCGTGCAACCAATTTCATTTTTGTGTAAATTAAATTGCATATGTGAATTTAAAAACTTTTTAGATTAATCAAGAAAAATAGATTTCGTCTTGAAATAGTCCTAAATTCCCTTAATTGTATATATCTCTTTAGTGTTACTCTTTTAGTAGAACATTTAAATTTCCCCTTTTTTTGATATAATGCTTGTTTTGTGGTTTTTGACGCTTTTTTCTCTTGAAGTAGCCTATAGATTACTAACCTACACACTTCCTTCCGATTACACTTATAAGTGTCGCAATTTGAAGATACGCACCTATAGAGGATAGGAATGATCAGGATAAGGACATATTCTATGAAAATCTCTCGGAAGTCTGTGAACAAGCACCAAGATATAATGCACTAATCCTCCTAGGGGATTTTATTATTATTAAAATAGCGGGGAAACGTTCACTACATGAACTAATGAGAATGGTCTCAGACTCTGCCACTTTGCCAGCGAAGTATCGCTTAGAATAAAAAGTACAACATTTGATAGGAAGAACATTCATAAAGGAACCTGGCAAATACAAAGACTAATAAAACCGACCATGTCTTGATGTCTGCAAAAAAATCGTCATCAGTTATTGATGTACGAAGAAGAAGAGGTGCAAATTGTGATAGCGACCAATATGGTGGAAGCCAATGTCCTCCAAAGAATAGCTAATATAGGAAAAAAAGAGGTAAGAGATACAAAACTATAAGAACAGTACAAACAAGATATCTCTACCAAAATGGAAGGCATAAATATAAATAATAGCAGAGACATGGACGAAAGTTGGGAAAAATTAGCAAAAAGCGTTACAGAAACCTCAGATATAGTAACAGGCACAAGTGTTATTAAAAGAAACAACAACTGGTTCGATGAGAAGTGTGCAACAATAATGAAAGAAAAGAACGAATTTCGAACCAGATTGCTACAACGAAAGCAACAAGAGCGAATAGAGAAGCCTATAACTCAAAAAGAAAAGAAGCAACAAAGTTGTGTAGCGAAAAGATGCAATGAAGAAGAGAATACACCCCAGATTAAGTATTTGTAGGGACAGAAATAGTGTTATACTGTCGGAGGAGAAGAAGGTCGCAACACTACAAGGAAACCCTGAACATACAAATATAATCAAGATGAAAGCGAAAACGATAAATCTGGACAAAACTACGCCACCGTGGAACTTGAAATAGAAACGCTAACAGCTGACGAAGTGAAGGCGGCAATAATGAAGTCGAAGAATAACAGATCCCCTGGAGAAGATAATATCATCATTGAGTTAATTAAAAATGCAGGCGACATAGGTATCACTAAGCTAATAGCAAAATGAGGTAATTCCAAAGGACTGGAAAACTGCTTTTATATGCCCAATATACAAAAAGGGCGATATGTTAAGTTGTGGATTATGCTGCTAAACACCGCCTATAAAATTTTATCCAACATGATTTACGAAAGAATAAAAATAATTGCCGAAGAAATAATAGGGAAATAGCAATGCGGATTTCGGAAAGGAAGATCTACTACTGATTAACTGTTTGTTCTGAAACAGAGTATGGAGAAATGTTATGAATATCACAAAGATCTGCATTTAATGTGCATCGACTCCAGACAAGGCTTCAATAGCATAAACCGAAGCAAATTACAATCAATGCTGATAAAGCGATGCCTTGCTTTATGAAGGTACTCGTCAGCTTGGCAATGATGACAATGTACGAATCTAAACCAGAAGTAATAGTACAAGGTAGAAAATAGGAACCATTTGCCATTAATAATGGTGTTCGACAAGGCGATACGCTATTAATGTTACTGTTCAATCTAGCTCTGCAGTGTGCAATTGGAGATCTAGAAAACGAAGACAGCATATTCAATAAGCCATATCAAGTGATTGGATACGCACTATGGTAGAAACATTCGTAAGGCTCGAACTCAAAACGAAAATAATTACCTTTCAAATCAATAAGGAAAAAACCAAATACATGAGAACGTCCAAAGCTGAAAATAGAAGAACTCTGCAAAACTTAACTGTTGCTGAACACAACTTTGAAGGTGTGGAAAGCATTAGGTACCTGAGCATTTTACTCAGAAATAATAATTGCATACAAGATAGAATAACACATGGGATACTCCTTTTTTTCTTTAGCAGCTCACAGTTTTCCAGTACTCAATTATGTTGAAGTTATTTTCGATTAGAATTTTTACAGTTTTTGGGGGGGTGGGTTTCTTGAGCGAAACCTACTTATGTCCCTGCCTGTAATTTCAACGTGGGAACGGAGCATATTCTCGATGATCGTGTGGAGGAGCTATATGGCTCAGTGTATGCAGACAGTAATGGGCATGGCCTTGATTATGCCTGGTAGAGTACGCATAGCTTGGACATCAACACGAGTAGTGAGGAAGTTATTAATCCACATCGGTGCATAGTTCTTTGTAACCTAATGCTATCGAAAGCGTAGACTCTGAGGAGCCTGATATGGTGCCGCTCAGCTTTAGCAGAATATTATTTCAGATTCTGAATTTTGCAGTTGTCTTCGTAAGGTGTTCTTTAAAGCTTAACGTTTTGTCGAGATCGATACCTNATAAAACGAGATTGCTAACCTGTTGTTTAGGTGGAAGGACGATATTTCATTCTTGGCGGCATTGGGCTGCAATCTCCAATCACGGAAATATCTCCCTAGGGTAGCATTAGTTAGAATTTGCTCAGTAGTCTCCAATTCTTTGTGGTTTGTAGTAAGCTGACAGTCATCTGCGCATCCAAACTTCTTTAATATGGTTTCCAGCATGTCTGCTATGCACAGATTGAAAAGCAGGGGAACTAGCACCGATCCTTGTGGAAGGTCATTATTCAGTTTCATTTGGGTGCTAATCTTGTCACTAATGATGACTTAGATGCGTTTGTTAGATAGTATGGCATTGATAACATCAGTAATCTTTCTGTATAAGATAGCTCACATTAATTTATACATTAGTCTTTATAGGCACACATGTTTTTAGTTGCTTTTGAAAGCCTCTTTCCATGTAGTTAGTCAATGGGGATGCTTGATCTATGCAGCTGCGGTTTGGTCGGAATTCTGCTTCCACACTTGTTGTAGTATTGCTTGGGTGATAGTTTTTTGATGTATCGTTAGTTTTCCGTGGTTTTAGAATGGAGACGACTTTTGCCCTCTTCAGTTGATGGGGAACATTTTCCGTTTGAAGGGTGTCGCAGAAGAACTTTGCAAACCATTACCTAGAAATCTGCCACTGTGTTTCAGACACTCAGCCTAAATGGCATCAAAGCCAGATGCTTTCCCGTTTTTATTTTATTTTGGGTTGGAATATTCTGTTTCAAGTGCACAGGTGAATTTTTTTGCACTCATTTCTAAAATGTCCAGTCCACATATTAGACTTTAGTACAAAAAATTCAATGATTTGCAATCATTTACGAAAACTAGATAAAAT